AACAACATGTAAGGAAGCCCAAGGCGAAGCCGGGCTTCCGCGCTAGTACTTATATATAATACTGATGGATATAAATGGAATGAATTGTAATGAAAGGATCTACAAAAGGATATGTTACAACATTGAACTATCTGTCTGGACGGAGGGTGATACTGATATGTCTGTTACATAACCGGTGGGGAGAACAGCACTGTGTTCAACCGTAGGAAAGGGTTGTGCAGATGCTGACATATTGCTGAGAATTGAGTTGAGTTGCGGGAAGGGGGTCGGCAGTAGAAATGAAAGGGCACCGGCTACTTTCACCAACACGAGAGTTACACCATCTCCGTCCCAGATCCGCGCGCTTACAGCGTCACCACATTCAAACAACCCAATTCAGTTTCCTGGTCTGCTACAGGTTGACAAATTAACCGACCCGACCTATGCTGTCAAGTTTATCCTGATCGTGAAGGGAATTGCTTGTAATCAATGAGGACAAATCAATCCTCAAATGGTCAATTTATGTAAAACCCATTGCAATTTAGCCGAGCTTTCTGGCCTCCAGTGCTGTATTAAGGGATAGATAAGCACGGCACATTTTGTCCTCGACTCATGTTGAATTTAAATATTGAACAGTTAATCATCTTCGGTTGAAGTATGAGGACCTTTAGAGGTATGCAGCATCAAGTCACGCCACGGATCATGGAAAAAAATTAAATTAACGGTTCTTTGTGTAAAAATTCCATGCGTAGCTTAATCCAAGCTGCCAGTCATCAGAAATTAAATGATCATGAAGCCAGTTAGACGGTGTTGTGGTGTTGAACGGTAGCCTGTGCTGCTATATGAATTCTCCAACGAAAAAAGCGATTCCAACCGTCATACGTTCTCATCAACAGTCCTGTCGCATTGCACTGCAACAATCTTTTCGACCAACCTCTTTATACTTATAGGAGCAGCTTTTTCTCCTACGTTTTTTTAAAGTGGGGGTACGCTGAACTCTGCCCCCGCTCTAATGGTGGGAGTTTTTTTTACTGCTTCCTCCTTAGTTCACCATGAGTTTCAGAGAGTGTTAACTATTATTTTTGAATGACGACATGTTGGCAGATATGAATTTATCTGCCTACCATACTAAACACTCCCACTGCCTATGTGGTTGCTCACAAATAACAGCGTTTATCAACTTTGTATTTATTTTTCCACAGCACTAAGTTTGCAATGACGAGGCCCTCCGGGCCTAAAATATAAAATTCATTTTATTTATTTATGTCGGGAGTAAGGTATATCGCCTTAACTACATGTTATTTATACTACTTGTAATACTATTTGTATGAAGAATAGGCATTGCGTGTTTATTCCACCGAAGTTGATTGTCTCCAGCGTAAATGTTCATAGATATTTCGATTATGATCCCAAAACTTACTGTCCCGGTCACCCACCCACATGTTATACAATTAATACTTTCCACAATTATTCCCCTTAAAAATATAAATTAAGATTTATTTATGTACATATGAAAGGATTGTTCAAACGACTTATGAGTTCAGGTGCAAAGGGACGCCAACAAGAAAATGAGCTGCAAATTAATTTTAACTGTACCGAAATCTTCATATAATAATATTTTCAACAGTTACGAACCATCGGGCTCGGCAGTACAAACTCTCATGAGAATGCATCCCTGTTTTTCATTGGCCTAATTACTAGGTCATGGAAACTACAACTGCTGAAAATATTATCTTTCGGGAAAAAGCATTTTAGATAGGTGTAAGACTTGAAGGAAAGTGGGGCGTTCGCATTTCGTGTTAAGGGGCATGCTCGTCACGTTGTGCTTTGCGGTTTATCCTGAAGTCAACCAATCATCATACGGCGGTTAGCTGTATAGGCAGAATAAACTTACCGACAAAACGAGGGCCATATCTAACGACAGAGGTTGTAGCATCTGAATGGTGAACCGGTCGCTCGTTGGTTAGAGTTCTACCACCCTAACCATTGGGCCACCGTTTCGTTTAATTATCCGTCGTGTGCCTTAGTTGTTGCAACGTCTGGCGTTGAATATGGATGGCTGATAACGGCC